ATATTTCTATCTTCCTCTCTGAAATCAGTAAAAATATATTTTTTTAAAAAAGAAAGAAAGAAAAAAGAATGTTGAGACCAGGAGATTATCCTGTATTAATTAGATACACCAAATGTAACCACAAGGGGGAAGCAGAAGAAGAGAGAAAGAGGGAGGAAGGGAGGGAGGGAGGGAGGGAAGGAGGGAGGGAGGGAGGGAGGGAGAGAGAGATAGAGAGAGAGAGCCGTGCTGCTGGCTCTGAAGACCGACGAAGGGGCCAGAGCATGAGGGAGGTCTCTAGATGGTGGAAAGTCAAGGAAGCAGATTCCCTTCTAGAGCCTAGAAGAAACAGCCCTGTCCACACCTTGATTTCAGACAAGTGAAACGGATTTCAGACTTCTGACCTCCAGAACTGTGACATAATGGATATGTGTAGTTTGAAGCCACATGAGTCTCTGGAGAATTTAGTTGTTTTCATACAGTTCCTCTGGGTTCAATCACTGCAGGAGGCATAAATCAAATTTCTGGATCTGCTGAGAACCAGCGTGGCTGACCTCAACTTCCTTAAAGGCCATCTACCTGGGAAACGTGGCCTGGCCTGGAGAATTCCTGTTCCTTTTCCAAGACCCCCTGAAATGTGCCTCCTCTCTGTCACTCTCCTTAACTCCTCCCCTAGGCAGACTCGCCTGCTCTCTCCTCCCTTCACATAACTATTGCTATCTGTCTCTATTATAGCCCTTACCTTACTGTGTTAATGAGCTCTACGTCTGCACCTCAGTCCAGGACTGCTAGGCACACACATGGCTCCTTTGTGCTGTTAGAAAACCTCCCCTTCTTCCAGAGGAAGTGGATTTCAGCCCTCGAGTCCTTCCCCCGGCCCCCTCCCAAGCACCCTTGAGCTTGTGCAGGGCCTCTCCACCTGTCTTCTCTGCTGTGAGCTCCTGAGTGTTTGTTTGTTCATCTTTGTGTGTCCCCAGCATAGAAACCAGTCCCCTTGGTGACTCTCTGTAAAAGGTTTTCTAAGCAGAAATGAATTGAATGCAGCCCGTGAGCATAGACAGGGTTGCTCCACCAAGAAGTCATCACATGCTGTGAACTGCAGACGGTTCTCAGAGCAGCAGAGGCAGGAAGAATAATGTCATCTGTTCTGCTCTCCATGGATTCTGGATATTTTAACATCTGCAGCTGGAAATTGTTTAGGGCTGTGGGACTAAAATAGATGCCTATAGCATTCTGTTACCTCATTCTTTGCTTTTGAGACCTAAAATCAATTCTTTTCCACTTCCCCAGGATGCTAACCTACTTGGGGCCAGTTGTTGTTAAGGCCACAAGAGAAACTGTCTGATTGAAAGGCCCTCTGATGGACCCCTTCTGCTGCACCACTTGCTCATCAGTGAAGTGTGACACCATCACTCTCCCCTGGCTTTTCCAGGACACACAGTCAGCTGCAGCAGCAGAGCTAAGAGCAGTGTTTCAGATTCCCTGTGGATCTGCAAAGATGTGGCAAGGGAGAGCCTCAAGGGTTTGGTTTGGTCCAGTTCCCAAGAACTAAACATTCCCATTCCTACAGTGAGAATGCACTCATGTATGACTTGATCGCCTTCTTTCAAAAGGTCATTCAGACATTTCAGGGCAGGACTGTTTGTGAACTTTGCATCAGTCCCAAAGCAGGACAGGCACAGACTGGCTCTTCAGATGACTGGAATTAAATTCCTATTTTGTCTTATTCACTGAGGCAGTGACCAAACAAGTTGACAAGTTGAGAAGAGATGTGGGGAGGAAGACAAACTGTACAGTATAAACTGGAAGATTGTTACCTATAGCAGGAAAAGAACTAGGGACTTTAGTAGTTGACATATTGTTTTTTAACTGAAAATATTATTAGAAGGGAACAAACAGCTCTAATCTTTACTCCTATTAAGCCAGAATATTCATTAAAGTTTATATTTTTACAGATTGAAGCACACTTACTCTTCACGACAAATCTTTGATGCCTTTATTATTAGTCCTAATTCATCACCCAAACCCATCAGACAACAAAATAAGTCCTGAGCTTTGTATATGAAGAACACAAACATGTGTAAAATAAAATTATGCCTTCAATAGTTCATAATCTAAATTAGTATAAATGGGAGAAACCAAGATGGCAGCATAGATAAACACCTGAAATTGCTGCCTCTCACAACTACTTCAAAACTACAACTAAAAGACAAAACAGACATCATCCAGAACCACAGGAAGAATGGCTGAGTGGAAATTCTACAACTAGAAGGGAAGAGTAAAGCACACTGAGACTCAGAAGAGGTGTGGAAGTAAAGGCAGAGGAACAAAGGCACACTCAGAGAGGGCTGGCAACTGAGTACACGGCTGTCTTTTTCAAGTGAGAGGGAGACAAAAACTCCTGACTGCGAGAGGCTGGACTTGAGTTGGGCTTTGGAAGTTGTGCTATAATCCCATTCAGGAAAAGACATGAAAATGTTCTGAAGGTGGCAAGGTTTGTTTGGTGTTTTTACACAGTTTGTACCAGAGTAGTGATTTGAACTCATTTTAGTACTCATCGCTATTTTATTTCTACCCTACATTTTGAAACATAGACTCTTTTCTAGAGCTGCTTTAGGTTTACAGCAATATTGAGCAGTTACAGAGATCTCCCTTACTACCCCTGCCAACACACATGCATAGCCTCCCCCACTATAACATCCCACACCTGAGTGGTACATTTGTTACAATTAATGAACTTACATGACACATGATTATCACCCAATGCCCACAGTTTACATTAGGGTTTACTCATGGACAAATGTATAAAGACATGTATCCACCATTACAGTATTATATGGAGCAGGTTCATTGCTCTATAATAAAATCCTCTGTGCTCTATTCATCCCTACCTACGCTCTAACCTCCGACAACCATTGATTTTTTTTTTTTTACTGTCTCTGTAGTTATGCTTTTTCCTGAATGTCATATAGTTGGAATCATACAGTATGTAGCCTTTCAGGTTGGCTTCTTTCAATTAGTAATATGCATTAAAGTTTCCTCAATAATATCTTTTCATGGCTCATAGCTCTTCTTTTTTTTTTTTTTTTTTTTTCCTTTTCACTGCTGAATAACATTCCATTATCTGAATGTACCACAGTTTATGTATTCATTCATCCTGTTCGCTTCTAATTTTTGGCAATTATTAACGAAGCTTCTGTAAACATCATGTGCAGGTTTTTGTGTGGACATAAGTATTCAACTCCTTTGGGTAAATAAATACCAAGGAACATGACTGTTGGATCGATGGTAAGAATATGTTTAGTTTATAAGAAATCACTAAGCTATATTCCAAAGTGGCTGTACCATTTTACACTTCCACCAGAAAAGGATGAGAATTTCTATTGCCCCATAGCCTCACCAGAATTGGTATTCGGGATTTTGACGACTATAATAGGTGTGTAATGTTATCTCATTGTTGTTTAAAAAAAAAACATATTGTTTTCTATTACCTCGTCTTTTTGTTTAGCCAGGAAATGATCTCTTTTTTTTTTTCCACTTTCCTATAGATTGTCCTACTGCTTTCCTTTATTGATTTTGTTGCCAATCTTCCTTAGTAATATTTTCCTTCATATGTTTTGGAAATTTATAGAAAAATACATAAAATATCTATGTACAGTTTTAAAATAATGATATAGTCAACACTTATTATAAGCACCACTGGCTGTCGTCTATATTTTTCTCTTTAATATTTTCTTTTCTTTCGCTGTCATGTGCTTGGAGTAGAGGTTCCTAACCTCTAGTACCATTTTGACAGAGTGCACTTGTCCACTCAAACAGCAGGTGGTGCTCCAGAGACCTTTGTGAGTTCCTTTGCTAAATTCTCTGAATCCTAGGAGACCCTGATCTCTTGGGGGTTGTGGTCTTTGTTACTACTTCACCTCCTGACTAGGTAGGTGTGATTACCATTATTGCCATTTCCTCCAGTTAAACAATTAGTAGCTCAAGAATGTTCACAGTTTTTTCTCCTGACAACAGCTGTCAATTCAAGTCTATAAACTCTCTCTATATTCCAACTGCAAGAAAAGACAGGATCATTTTATATATTGGGTAATAATGCCCCAGTACCTACGGCCAAAAGCTTTCAAAAATCTTTCAGAAATGAGTGTGTGTGTGTGTGTGTGTGTGTGTGTGTCTGTATCCCAAAGTAAAAAGATAAAATTGTAACATTGGAGTGGACGTTTAATCACCTTCAAAATTAACATTATGTCACTGTTTAGTTAGGATTATACACCTTTTACATTTTGGAGCAATTTGAGGTTAGAGTTCTTACTTCACAAGAATATCTGATCATCTCCAGATGCCAGAAACCATAGCTCATACATTAAATGAGTCATTTTGGATAAAAAAAATTTCAAGTGCAAAATGTTTGAATCTTTTCCCCCAACAACAAAAACAATGTAAGGCCTGGATATAACTTAACATATTTGATGTGTGGCGCTAGACTTCTGGAAATAAGAGATTTTTTACAAGAGACCTGTGAGCTGAAATGAGACACAGAATGTGGGGAAGGCAAGAGAGAGAAGAGGGTTCTGAGGGAAAGGAGATGCGATGCTGGTCCAGGAGCAGAGGACCGGGGGTCCCTGCCTAGTGAGGGCTCAGGTGGGTCCAGTGAAGCCCTGTGAGGTGGTACTGTGCGCCCCGGCGTCCAGGGGAGGCGCGCACTCCGAGGGAACAGGGACTAGGAAGGCTTCTCCGAGGAGGTGACACTGGATCGGAGAGGGAAGGAGGTGGAGAGGATGCCACATCTAGAGACACACCCTGGGGAGGGAGGGAGGGAGGGAGGGGAGGAGGAAGATCTCGATGCGCTCGGCGCTCCGCCCTCGGGCGTCGACTGCTCGGGCCTGAGTGCGGTCGCCGCCCTCCGCCTCCCGCTCATCCCTCCCTCCCTTCCCTCCCCCTCCTCCCCTTCCTCCGCCCCCAGCGCCTCCGCCGCCGCCCGACCCGCGCGACCGCCGAAGCTGCGGGTCTCCGGAGACGCCATGTACCGGCTCCCCTTGACCGTGACGGCCCGGGCCGCGCCGCCGCGGGGCTGGGCCTGGGGCTGCGGGCGGCGCGGAGCCCACCACCGCGCGGGGCCGGGGCTGCCGCGGCTCGGGCCCGGCTGGGCCGGGGGCCTCGGGCTGGGGCTGGGGCTGGCGCTCGGGGCGAAGCTGGCGGGTGCGCTGAGGGGCGCAGCCCCCGCGCCGCCCCCCGCGGCCCCCGACCCCGAGGCGCCGCCCCAGGCCGAGCTGCCGCGGCCGCCGCGGGAGCAGCCCCTCGCCCCTGCGTCTCCGCAGACCCCGTCGGCGTCCACCCCCGGGCGCTACGCCAGAGCCATTGACAGCAGCCGCGACCTGCTGCACAGGATCAAGGTGCTGCGACGCGGGGCGTTGGCGGTGGGACCCCGGAAGGGGGCCCCTCGGGGGTCATCTCCCCGGGCCGGGCCGACCCCAGCCTGGGCGGTGGGATGCCCAGGGACAGCTCCCGAGAAAGACTTCCCGTTTCCCGACCGTCTGGCCGCGGTCAGACGCTCTTGGGTTGCCCAATTCCGGGAGGAGGTCCCGGCCCGGCTTGGGGACCGCCCTTTCCCTGTCGGGGTGCCAATCCGTCACACCTCTTCGGGTAGCGCAAGATTGCAGCCGAGGTGGGCGGGGCGAAGTCAGGGTGGGCGGGGCGCAGCCGAGGTGGGCGGGGCCTGGAGATGCCCCGGTGACAGCGCCCATGGCCCCTAGAGGTGTCTCCGCGAGTCTCTGAACTGTCTGTGCCTCTCCCCTTGCTCTCAGGATGAGGTGGGCGCCCCTGGCATCGTGGTCGGAGTCTCTGTAGATGGAAAAGAAATCTGGTCAGAAGGTAGGCTCAGAAAAGGGTCAATGAGTAGCTTGTTTTTTGGCCAGATGGTGAATGAAATCTTGATGTTTTTCCTGCTTGGAGTGAATCTCATGAAATGATGCCCTTCAGCTTACGTGAAATTATCCATGTTGTGGAGGGGGGGAAAAATGTGTCCAACAGAAGAATGTATCGAGTTTTCTGTCCTTAAGATTTAAAATGTAACTAATGAGTAAATCGGAGTCTTCAAAATGGCTTATTTCTATACCCACGCTTTAAAGGACTGGACTTGTTGTTCTGAAAGTTGTGTGTAGGAAAGCCTGTTGCCTGCATGTTTGTAGATAACCCTTATCCTCCTTTCCTATATAATAAAAGGTAATTAATATGCAAAATGACCAAAGCGAAGGAGCAGAGCTGCCCCCAGGTGGTCAGTGCGCTCCCACAGGTGGAGGGCCGCTCAGCCAGAGTACCTGAGCCAGGCTCACAGCTGACGAGCCAGCGCAGCATGGATGGTGGCAGGAGCCTCTCCAGCCTCCGCCTGGGACATCCTGGACTGTGAGAGGGATGTCCAACTGCCAGCTTAGGCCACTCTCCATGGGGTCCCGGACTGGGAGAAGGGGCAGGCCAGGCTGAGAGCCCCCTCCTCAGTGCAGGAATTTCGTGTACCAGGCTTCTAATGAGAAGGTAAAACGTCAGAATTTTGTGTTTTTCTTTTTTAATTCAGTCAACAATTGGAGTCACCTATTCTGTAAAAGGCACGTGATTCCTGTCCTTAATGAGTTTATGATCTACTTTATTACTTTTTTGAGTAGGTAGACATTTAAATAAAGTAGTACTTATTTACTCTTACTATGGGAAGTGAATTAAAAAAAATGATTCTTCCTTCAAATATAAGTATAGCTTAATCTGAATGCCTAATTTATGAAAAACATTGTAACAAAAGTTATATAAATGTCAGGATTCTGGGTGGGGGCTTTGTTTTTATGCAAATATTTTAGCATAATCCCTTTACGATTTAAAAACAATCGTTGTACCCCCTTTTTTTCTTTTCAGATCTCAGTTCTTTATATGTCTTAGAATTCCACTTTCAGCCTGTCCAGAAGATGAAATCAAACTTAAATTTTCTCTAGAATGAGCTTTAAATTGGTGATACATTATTGTGGTGGGTTTTTCCCCCTGATTTTCTGATTTGCAGCTGAATTGAATTGATAGTTAGCTAAAGTGGATTTGCAGAACCTCTTTTCACTTATTTTTAATTGGATGGGTATTTTAAGGAATTCAGTGGAAACTCACTCAAGAATAAATATAATCTGAAGAACAACAATAATATTTTCTTTAAAGAATGTAGAGTAATTTATTTGAAATTTGGAATAACCAAATTGCTTGGATAAGCTGAGAAAAATTAGTGTTTGAATCAGATGGAAAATTACTATTGTGCACAAGGCACAATTCTGTTTAGTTACAGGGTTAAATTGTTAGACTTACTGTTATCCGGGTTAAGACTTATCCCTTGCATGTTAAGTTTTCATTAACTTATAAAAGTAGAATGTCTTTCCTTCAGATGAATATACAGGAAATTTTAAGATAGTATTATTTCAGTTTTTCAAGATTCCTTTGACCTTGAAGGTTATTAATGGTGACTTTTGACTTTTTTTCAAAGGCTTAGGCTATGCCGATGTTGAGAACCGTGTACCATGCAAACCAGAGACAGTTATGAGAATTGCCAGTATCAGCAAAAGCCTTACCATGGTTGCTATTGCCAAATTGTGGGAAACAGGAAAACTTGATCTTGATATTCCAGTACAACATTATGTTCCTGAATTCCCAGAAAAAGAATATGAAGGTGAAAAGGTAATGAAACTCACAGTTCATATTACAAATGGCACATTTAATGGCTTAAAAGGTTGCATAGTTTTCTTTGGTTTGTTTTAAATTATTGTTAATTTTTTTTTATCCAGATGATAATCGAGATTTTCTGAAATTTAAACCTAAAGATATCTATATTACATATTTTTTCAATAGCAGTTTAAAATGGAAAATATTACTGAGTCGTTATTCTGAGGCTACTAACTTTCTGTTATAGTTCAGTAATGTAATTAATTTTCATGTTTTTATAATAGGTTTCTGTTACAACAAGATTATTGATTTCCCATTTAAGTGGAATTCGTCATTATGAAAAGGACATGAAAAAGGTAAAAGAAGAGAAAGCTTATAAAGCCTTGAAGATGATGAAAGAGATGATGGATTCCGACCAAGAAAAAGAGTTAAAAGATAAAGGAGACAAAAATAATGAAAAGAAAGACTTCGCTAAAGCTAAAATAGAGCAGGATAATGAAGCTAAAGGCCGGAATGCCAAACCTGTCAAGAAAAAAAATGATTTTGAACAAGGTGAATTGTATTTGAAAGAGAAGTTTGAAAATTCAATTGAATCCCTAAGATTATTTAAAAATGACCCTTTGTTCTTTAAACCAGGTGAGTGTTAATTCCCTCTCGTAACAAACTCATCATTATTGAAGTGTTAATTTTCAGAAAAATCGAGAATACCATCCTGAGTGCTTTAGATGTGGTAGATGATTGTGGCATGGGTTTTGTTGTCCAGTGCTTGCCTTTTGTCTGCATTTCTTAAGAGTAATTAAGAGCGTAGAGCATAGTTCCTGCATAACATCCAGGCAGCTACTTGTTTGGATTTAGCTCATGGAGGCTATCCAGTCATTTAGTAGATTCTAAATATCAAAATATTTGTGAAAGATTATGGAGAAATGTTGGAATAATAGTTCTGCAAACAAAATCTAGTCCAAAGTGGATGTGATAATGTATTGCTATTATCTTGTTTTTTTAATTAGACTTTATTTTTAAATATATCTTTATTGATTTCAGAGAAGAGAGAGAGAGAGAGAGAGAGAGAGAGAGAGAGAGAGAGAGAGAGAGAGAGAGAGACATCAATGATGAGAATCATTGATTACTGCCTACTGCATGCTCCCCACTGGGGATTGAGCCCAAAACCCGGGCATGTGCTCTGACAGGGAATCAAACTGTAACCTCCTGGTTCATAGGTTGATGCTCAATCACTAAGCCTTGCCGGCCGGGCTTAGTTAGACGTTAGATTGCTCAACTTATTTTGTGCCTTCATTTCTTAAATCAGTGTTCATCAACTTAATTTTATTTCTAAAAAAAATAATATATAAAAATAACTCCCTTCGTTTTTGTATATTTTTGTATGACACCTACTGAAACCACTTCTTATCTTTAAACTAAATAGATTTAAAATAAATAGATTTATTTTTTTATTCCATTTTCATATTGAAAGTTGCTTCTACCATTATACCATTATATAGGTATAATCAGTAATGGCAAAGAAATGTGATTATGGAGTTTGTCTTTAAAAATAAGGTTCTCACCCATGTTTAGTACAGTTGGTACAACCTACATTTCCAGAATCCACAATGAGATAAAGGTATATATTTGAATATGTATTTGAATATGTATTTGAAATAAGGTTTATATATTCCTGCACCTGTGGGGTCTCTTGGCCTGGCCTGTGTCCTCAGGGGATGTTGGACAGGGGATGTCCCCATAGGCCAGGCTGAGGGTCTCCCACTGAGCCTCTAGTACACATATAAGATCTTTGGTTAATCTCTTCCTGCCCTCTCCCTACTCCCTTCCCTCTGAGATTCATCAGTTTGTTCCATGTTCCCATGTCTGTGGTTTCCATTCCTGCATTGAGCATCTGCCCCCTGGTGGTTAGTATATATCACAGCTACCGGCCAGTTGGCCAGTCAACCAGTTGGTTAGGCTTTTATGTATATTTAGATATGTTTTATTAAAATAACTTGTATAACTACTTATGCCATAAGCAACTTGTATAACTACTAATGCCTTAAGGTACATTAGAAACAAGATAGTTGACTCAAGAATCCAAATTTGCTTTTCTTTCTCTTCCTAGTTTGTTGCCAGTTTGTAGAATTTTTATGTTTGAGGTAGGATCATTTGTTTACTTTTTTATCATCATTTTATTCATGTTTTAGGCACATGGAATAAGTAGGGCTATTACAGAGCTGAATAAGATATCATTCATGATGTTTTATAAATCCTGAACTAAAATATTCCAGTTTTAAGGTATATACCAGTTTTTAATGGAAAAGTATTTTACATGTTATGAATTATTTTCTCTTTTTTCCTTCTTGCAATGATGTCTCAAGGTAGTCAGTTTTTGTATTCAACTTTTGGCTATACCCTACTGGCAGCCATAATTGAAAGAGCTTCAGGATATAAATTTTTGGAATATATGCAGAAAATATTCCATGACTTGGATATGCTAACAACTGTGCAGGAAGAACATGAACCAGTGATTTACAACAGAGCAAGGTAAATGAATATTTTTTTGGTGTGTCTAGCTATATCACATCTTAATACTATGTTATCAATTAAAACTCAAATTTTATCTTCTTTTCAAAATCAACTTGTGTGTCACATTTTGGAAGCTTTTCTACATATCTGTTTGTCCATTTATAAAGTGTGTTTGTAAAATATTCCCAAGATTCTCAGATGAAAGACAGCAATAATAATTTAACCACATGAATAATTAAACCAAAATTGCACCCCTCTTTAGCATCTATAATTTGCTCTTCAACCATCTCTTTTTCATGTTTATAAACTAATGCTTTATTTATCGTTTGTTATTTTTAATTGTTTTAACTTTTATTTGAAATAATTTTATACTTCTAGAAATGTTATGAATAAGTTATGAAGAATTACTCTTCACCCAGATTCTACAAATGTTATCATTTTACCACATTTGCATTATCTATCTATTAGAGCAGTGTTTCCCAAATTTCTCTCATGATGAGAATCATCTGGTGAAGTTGTTAAAATACAGATATAATACTGAATCCCAACTAAGAATCCTAAAAATTCTAGTTTAGCACTTCTTAGTTGGGATTCAGGAATCTGTAGTTTAACAACTCCACCAGGTGATTCTCATCATGAGAGAAGTTTGGGAAACACTGTACTAGAGGCCCAGTGCACGAAGTTTGTGCATGGGGGGTAGTCCCCTCAGCCCAGCCTGCACCCTCTCCAATCTGGGATCCCTTGGGGGATGTCCGACTGCCGGTTTAGGCCTGATCCAGGGTGGTAGCAGGAGTAGGGGGTTGCCCAATTCGGAGATCGGGCCTAAACCGACAATCGGACATCCCTCTCATAATTCGGGGCCGCTACCTCCTAACTGCTCACCTACCTGCCTGCCTGATTGCCCCTAACTCCCCTCCCCGCCCCCCACCAGCTTGATCACACTCCTAACTGCCTCTGCCTGCCTGCCTGATCACCCCTAACTGTTCCCCACCACCAGCCTGCTCACCCCTAACCACCTCTGCCTGCTAACCTGGTCATCCCAACTGCCTCCCCACTGGCCTGGTCACCCTTTACTACTCCCCCCCCTCCCTCTGCTGGCCTGGTCACCCCCAACTGCCCCTCCACCAGCCTGGTCATACCCAACTAACCCCCTCTGCCAGCCTGGTCACCCCTCACTGCCCCTACGGTTGGCCTGGTCACCCCCAACTGTCTCCCCCTTCTTTCCACCCCCTCCCCCCCAACCTCTGGCCTAGTTGCCCCATGCAGCCTGCTGTTCAGTCATCCACTCAGTTGTTTTGGCAGTGATGGCTCCTGGTGTTTTATATATTAGGATATGTTTTTGGTTTTCTCTTCTTGAATCATTTAAAAATAAGTTGCAGGCATGGTATTCCTTTACTGGTAAAGATTTAAATGTGTATTTTCTAAAAACCAGGATACTAAGGAAATTAACATTGACACAATGCTTTTATCAAATCTACAGACCTTATTCAAATTTTGCCAATTATCCAAATAATGTTCTTTATAGCAGAACTGTCATGATATCAGTTTGCCCCATTATTGGTGATGGCAATTTAAAAAAAAAAAATTTTTTTAAATATATTTTTATTGATTTTTTACAGAGAGGAAGGGAGAGAGATAGAGAGCTAGAAATGTCAATGAGAGAGAAACACTGACCAGCTGCCTCTTGCACACCCCCTACTGGAGATGTGCCCGCAACCAACATAACATGCCCCTGACTGGAATCAAACCTGGGACCTTTCAGTCCACAAACCGATGCTCTACCACTGAGCCAAACTGGTTTCGGCAGTGATGGCAATTTTAATTGCTTTGTTGAGATAGTACCTGCCAGTTTTCTGCACTATAAAAATTTGAAAGTAATTTCATTGAAATATAGAAAATGAAAAATTTATTATAATGTTATTAGTAACCTGTAAAGGGGCATTGAGAGAACATTTTGAAGCTAATGACTTTTCCATTTTACTCTAATTATTTGATTTGTTAGAAAAGTACACTTTAATCAACTGTTGCCTATTTCCATTAGTACATGCTTTATTTAAATGGTTTAATGGCACTTGAAATAGATGAATAGTGGAATATTTTTAGCTTTATCTTCCTATCTCCACACGAGTTTTATTTAATCTCTGTTGTATTTAGTTGAATTATCATTTTAAGTTATCAGCTGAAGGGACTTAAATGTGCATTGCTAGTCAGCCTGAAGGAGACTTTTTTTGGACCTAAAAAAATTTGGGTTAGTAGCAAGCAATGAATTTTAATTTTTTTAAATGGCCTGTAGTTCTCAACCAGTTCAGAGACTCTTAGTGTTTTTTTGTGGAGGTTTTTTGTCCAACATTATATTTTACTGGAAAACGTAAGAAAAATTGACAAATGCCATAGGTTGTCAATTGAATCTAATAAAGATGGCAGAGATGCATGACCTTATTTTGATTCAGATTTTGGCATTTAATAATGAATGCCTAGACTTTTATATAAGGGAGAGGAGAAAATTATGTGTCACTGGGCTTCTTTTATAAACTGAAAATTACTGATCTATGAATGTATAGACTGCAGAGCAGCTATCATTTGTTTAATGAGTGATTAATTTATGACGAGGCCCAGTCACAAAATTCGTGCACAGAGGGGGGATGTCCCTCAGCCCAGCCTGCACCCTCTCTAATCTGGGACCCCTCAGGGGATGTCTGACTGTCCATTTAGGCCCGGACCACCAGGATCAGGCCTAAACGGGCAGTTGGACATCCCTTTCACAATCCAGGACTGCTGGCTCCCAACTGCTCATTTGCCTGCCTTCCTGATTGCCCCTAACTGCTTCTGCCTGTCAGCCTGATCACCCTCTAACCACTCTGCTGCTAGCCTGATTGATGCCTAACTGCACCCCTGCCAGCTTATTTGCCCCTAACTGCCCTCCCCTGCAGGCTTGATTGCCCCCAATTGCCCTCCCTTGCAGGCCTGGTCCTCTTAACTGCCTTCCCCTGCTGGCCATCTTGTGGTGGCCATCTTGTGTCCACATGGGTGCAGGATCTTTGACCACATGGAGGCAGCCATCTTATGTGTTGGAGTGATGGTCAATCTGCATATTACTCTTATTAGATAGGATAGAGGCCTATTGCATGTGTGGGGGCTGGCTGGTTTGCCCTGAAGGGTGTCCCAGATCAGGGTGGGGGTTCCCTTGGGGTGTGGGGTGGCTTGAGCGAAGGGCCTGTGGTGGTTTGCAGGCCAGCCATGCCCCCTGACAACCCAAGCAGAGGCCCTGGTATCTGGGATTTATATATCTTCTACAATTGAAACTTTGTAGCCTGGAGCGGAGCCAAGCTTCCTGCAGCCATTTCTGTTGGAATTTGTTTACCTTCTATAATTAAAACTTTGTAGCATTGAGTGGAGGCCTAGACCTACAAGAGCAGGCGGAAAGCTTGGCTTCCTCCGTTGCCAGGGAAACCCAAGCCTCCCTCCTGCTCTCTGTGGCTGTAGCCATCTTGGTTGGGTTTATTTGCATACTTGCTCTGATTGGCTGGTGGGCATGGCTCGTGGGTGTAGCTATGGTATGGTCAATTTGCATATTACTCTTTTATTAGAGAGGATGAGACCAAAACCAAATAGAATTTTTTCTGAAGTATTGCTGTATTTGACAGTATCGATATGGCCTTTACTTTCTGGTATTATCTTTTTATTATTATTATTTATTATCTTTATTTTCTAGATTATCTTCTAAAAATAAGTCTTGCTTCTTATGCCTTCAGCTGACAGACTCTAGTAGTAGATTCAATCCAGATGTTAAAGCTGAATGTTAAAGTGGGATGGGTTTTTTAATATGCATTTTACATTCTTCGGGTTTTTTAACTTCTCATGACAATAAAATACAAAGTACTGCATAATTGTTTCTAAAGGCATTTAAGACGCATTTAAAAAATAAAAGTCTTAAAAATTTAAAAATATATTTTTATTAATTTCAGAGAGGAAGGGAGAGGAAGAGAAAAATAGAAACATCAATGAAGAGAGAGAATCATTGATTGGCTGCCTCCTACTGGAGATCAGGCCTACCACCCGGGCATGTGCCCTTGACCGGAATTGAACCTGGGACCCTTCAGTCCGCAGACTGACACTCTATCCACTGAACCAAATTGGCTAGGACAAAATAAAAGTATTCTGAATTTCTAAGTTTGTAGGCGTAGATTTCTGTGGTTATGTAATGTTCTTGTGCGGAAGCTAGAGATTCTTAAGTAGGAAGAGGCTGCTTGTCACCTGGCATCATTCCATCAGTGATTCAGTTACCAAGGTGTCCCAGATACTGACTAAAGAACTTAACTCTATCCCACTCTTTTTAAAGCAGAAATTCCTTAAGAAATTAAAATAAAGTTATCCAGCTGAACAAATTATTTTTATGAAAAGCCATTAATTTTTCCTCTGTGAAAAGGAATCAAAGGATTAAAGTCTAAAATCTATTTAAAGTTTAAAATTCTATAATAAAGTCTGGAATTCTCCACAGTTTTGTATTTTAAAGGATGAATGACTGAGGAATTCTTATTTCCAACTTTGAAATAAGTGGTTTGAAATGCTTTACACAAAGCTGATTATTAGCCAAAATATATTAGTAGTTCTCTCCTAGTTTACAGACTTGGAGCTCACTCTAAGAACTGTGCTTCTCAATAAGAAAATGTATTTCTGTTGCCATTGAGGAGCTTTTCATGTCCCTATCAGTTGTCCTTGAAAGTGGGGTTCTTGTGATGTCACAAGAAAAGGAATTTTCTGAGACTTGCACAGGAGAATGAATGGCATTTATTTGCATGAAATTACACCCCTGAGTTTCCAAGGCTCCATTTCCCTTCGTCCTGCCAAGGAAGAAGTCCAGCTGTGTCTTTAGCAGGGCTGAGATCGAAGCCGTTGCCCAGAGTTTCCGTTCCATATTTGCATAATCCAATCCAGCATTAGGCTAGTTTAGCTTGTGTTCCCAGCTGCAGTTCATCAATCCATTGAGTTTAAGAGATCCATGGCCGCCGAAACCGGTTTGGCTCAATGGATAGAGCGTCGGACTGCGGACTAAAAGGTCCCGGGTTCTATTCTGGTCAAGGGCATGTACCTTGGTTGCGGGCACATCCCCAGTAGGGGGTGTGCAAGAGGCAGCTGATCGATGATTCTCTCTCATTGATGTTTCTAACTCTCTATCCCTCTCTCTTCCTCTCTGTAAAAAATCAATACAATATATTAAAAAAAAAAAAAAAAAAAAGATATCCATGGCCATGGGCCATGTGGCCTGTAGGACCACATGGCTATGGAGGAACACTGGCAAATGCAAGGACGCAGGAGCAAAACCAGAGGAACAAGAGAGCCACAAGAGCTAAGAGAGAGAGAGAACTCCTTTGTCTGGGGGTTATATATTCCCACATTTTCATAGGCTTGCATAGGCTCCATCTCCTCTAGCCAATGATCTCTAACAGGCACCCCAACTTACCTTCGCATGCACCCATCTCCCCTTTGCCCAGTCTCTTCCCCCAGTAATCTGCAGGGAATGGGCCAGATGGTTCCGGGGGGGGGGGGGGAGTACTAAGTTGCAGCTTTCTGGTGAAACTGCCCAGATGGCCAAGCTTATAACGTCTGGCCTTTCTTTTGCTACTTTCTAATATTAATGACTAGGGACCCAATGCATGACATTTGTGCACTGGGGGCAGGTCCCTCAGCCTGGCCTGTGCCCTCTGGCAGTCGGGACCCATCAGGGGATGTCCACTGGCCGGTTTAGGCCTGCTCCCAAGGGGTCCTTAGCGCTGCCAGGAGGTGGAAGAGTCTCCTGCCACCTCCCCTGCGCTTGCCAGCTGTGAGCCCAGCTCAGGGCTTCTGGCTGAGCGGTGCTCCCTCCATCGATTTGCATATTAGCCTTTTATTTTATAGGATTAGCTAATTACAACAGTAACATTTCTATTATTTGGCTTTTTTTTAGATTTGATTGGCTTGGAATTTCAAGTGTAATCAGTGTTTAGGCAGAATGTTAGAGTTTAGCTTCTTATTGTATCGATATATAAGAGTTGAGGGCAAGAGAGTCAACCAACATTTTAATGGAGAGGAAAATATAAGAAGGTTTGGAAGAGATTCACTTGGTTTAATTCCTTTTGAAACATGAAAAGACCACATATCAAGTTATTGGTTCTCAAGAGAGCATATTAAGATTCTCTATAGACTTTTTCTTTTTTTAAAAAAATGTTTTTATTGAATTCTGAGAGGAAGGGAGAGGAAGAGAGAGAGATAGAAACATCACTGATTGGCTGCCTCCTCATGTCCCACACTGGGGATTAAGCCCACAACATGGGCCTATGCCCTGACTGGGAATAGAACCGTGACCGTCTGGTTCATAGGTTGATGCTCAACCACTGAGCCATACTGGCCGAGCTGTAGACTTTTCCTTTTAATCCTTAAAGCACATACCTATGGCCACCCCTACTTCACTCAAAAGGATGACTTGGGCTTTTAGGGGACATATAAGAATCTTGAAGGAAGAAAGAGGAGTTACTTTTAAAAGTATACCCACAGTCCCTCCAAAGTTATGAATTTTTAAGGGAGGGGAATAGAGGGAGGACATAGAGAGCAGGTTCATTGGAGAGCTGGAAGAATCGAAGTCCTAGGAAAAAATTTCTGAATCTGAGACCTTAGAGATAAAACAGTTCAAAGTAATGGTGAGATCCAGGTCTGACAGTGCTTTTGCATAGCCAAAGTAGAATGAACACAAAGATCATTAGAGTGAGACAGTTAGGATACTAAAAACCTAAGAGCATCATTTTATTATGAATCTTGAAAGAAAGGATTCTCCTGAGCCACATTCCATTTTTTGTTTATTTTGTGATTTCATTTTATTTACCTCATTTATGTCCCAGCCCCCTCACATTAGCATAGAAACCTCATGAGGTCAGACACTGTCTCTTTTGTTTAATGCTTTATCCCAGCATCCAAACAGTCCCTAACACAGAGTGAGTGCTCCATCAATAATTGTTGAATGCATGAGTAAGTAACAACTATCATCTATTAAGTACCTGCCAGAAATATGCAGTGTTTAGAATACATATATTCCTAACTCTGCAAATAGATATTTTTGTCTTCATTTTACAAGATAGGATGCCAAAGCAGTGAATAGAAATGCCAGACTGCCTGGGTTTAAATTCACTGTGCCACTTACAAGCTGTGTGAATGTGGTATAAGCTATCCTATATAATAAAGCCTAATATGTAAATTGACCAAACGGCAGAACAATCAGTTGCTATGACATGCACTGACCACTAGGGGAGCAGACATTCAACACGGGAGCTGCCCCCTGGTGGTCAGTGTGATCCCACAGGGGGAGCGCTGCTCAGCCAGAAGCCAGGCTCACAGCGGCGAGCCAGCGCAGTGGCTGTGGTAGGAGCCTCTCCCGCCTCCGCAGCAGCACTAAGGAGCAGTGAACTGAGCTGTAAGGAGCAGTGAGCAGGCAGGCGGTAAGGAGCAAGGGGTCCTGGGCTGCGAGAGGGATGTCTGCTAAATGCTCCTGGACTGCAGGAGGGCACAGGCCAGGCTGAGGGATCCTTTCCCTCCATCCCCCCGTGCACAGATTTTGTGCACCAGGCCTCTAGTGAGAGTATAAGCTATTTATACTCTCCATGTCTCTTTTTTCTTTTCTTTTTTTTAAAATTTATTTCAGAGAGGTAGGAAGAGGGAGAGATAGAAACATTAATGATGAGAGAGAATCATTGATCGGCTGCGTCCTGTGCACCCCCTACTAGGGAACAAGCCTACAACTCAGGCATGTGCCTGGACCAGGAATCAAACCATAACCTCCTGGTTCATAGGTCAACACTCAACCACCCAGTCATGCTAACTGGGCATGTGCAATCTTAATCATTAAACTTTTTGCAGTTATTTAAAGTTTGATATACTCAGTATGGACAAGCGTGACAACGGAAAAAACAACCCACTTTCGATGCTTTAATTCCCAAGGCAATTAGAGTAGTTTACTCAGTTATTTGTATTCATTAAGATCTGAATCATACTGAAAATTAGTGGTTAGTTCCTGCGAATGTATGATTACTACAGTGAAATGCAATCTGTCTCGTGTACATTTTCCTATTCGTGTTCATGTGTAAAGTCAATGATAGAGTATTACATTTTTTAATCACCATTCTTATTTTATTTTAGATTTTACGTTTACAATAAAAAGAGACATCTTGTCAACACACCTTACGTGGATAACTCCTATAAGTGGGCTGGTGGTGGCTTTCTGTCTACAGTGGGTGACCTTGTGAAATTTGGGAATGCTATGCTGTATGGTTACCAAGTCGGGCTGTTTAAGAACTCAAATGAAAATCTTTTGCCTGGATATCTCAAACCAGAAACAATGGTTACGATTTGGACACCAGTCCCTAACACAGAGATGTCCTGGGATAGAGAGGGTAAATATGCAATGGCCTGGGGTGTCGTGGAAAAGAAGCAAACATATGGTTCCTGTAGGAAGCAGCGGCATTATGCCTCACATACTGGGGGTGCTGTGGGGGCCAGTAGCGTCCTGCTGGTCCTTCCTGAAGAACTGGATGCAGAATCTGTACGTAACAAGGTTCCTCCAAGAGGAATAGTTGTGTCCATCATCTGTAACATGCAGTCTGTCGGACTCAATAGCACTGCTTTAAAGATTGCTCTGGAATTTGATAAAGACAGACCAGACATGCCTTAACGTCACAGGTGCAAAATGAACTGTTTTTGCTTTTTTAGACATTAACTAAAGTTCCAAAATACATGAGGTTTTTAAGAATAAATTTGTAATATAGTATAATTGAATGCAGAAGATATGTACCTCTAATTGTTTAATTTTGTAACTGTCTTTTATGGTAGGGTTAGTTAGTTTATACTCAGGGAAGTAATATTGTATTTACTTTTTGAAAAAAAAATTCTTGAAATAAAATATTCTGATGAAAATCTATACTTTTTGAATGTGTAAAATAGAGAAAATCTCATTTAGTAGGAACCTCCAAATATTGCTTTTTTTTTCCTTTTTAAAAAATCCATCCCCTCACCAACTCCTGTTTGATAACCATCAGCTTGTTCTCTATATCTATGAACCTGTTTTGTTTTATTAATTTGTTTTGGTTGTTTTAGATTTCACATATAAGTGGAATCAAATAGTGCTTATATTTCTCTGTGTGATTTATTTCACTTAGCATAATACCATCTAGGTCCATTCTTTTTTTATTGCTGCATAATGTTCTGTTGTACACATATGCCACTTCTTTAGCAACTCATCTATCAATGAATACCTAGATTGCTTCCATATCTTGGCTATTGTAAGTAATGCTGCAATGAACATAGGAGTGTATAGATCTTCTTGAATTAGGATTTTTATTTTATTTGGGTAAATACCCAGAAATGAAAGTGCTGGGTCATATGGCAGCTATATTTGTAATTTTTTGAAGAATCTCCATGCAGTTTTCCATCTGGGTGCACCAATTTACAATCCCACAAATAATGCACAAGGATTTTTTGTTTTGATGAAAGCTATTCCAACTGCTTGAGATGATATCTCATTGCTTTTTATTTGCATTTCCTTGATGATTTGTGATGCTGAGCATCTTTACATATGTCTGTGGGCCATGAGTATGTACTTTTTGGAAAAATGGCTACTTATTCTACTGCCAACTTTTTAATTGGATTGTTTGGGGGAAGGGGATTTGGCATTAAGTATGAGTTCCCTAAATATTTTGGAGGTTAACTCCTTATCAGATGTATCATTTATGAATATTTGCTCCCAATCAGTTTGTTCATGTTTTTCTTCACTATATAAAAACTTTTCAGTTTAATGTAGTCCCACTTGTTTACTTTTTGTTTATTTGTTCACCTTGCTCAAGGAGACATATCCAAAAAGATATTGCTAAGACCATCAAAGAATTTACTGTCTATGTTTTCTTCTAGCATTTTCATAGTTTCGGGTCTTACATTTAAGTCTTTAATTAATTTTGAGTTTATGTACATAGTGTGAGAAAGTTGGTACTATTTGTCCAGTTTTCACACTGCGACCTATTGAAGCAACTATCTTTACCCTCATTGCATACTTCCCTCCTTTGTTGGAGATTAGTTGATCGTATCAGTGAGGATTTATTTCTGGACTCCCTATTCTAGTTCATTGATCTATCTATTGTTATGCCAGTACCATACTGTTTTGATTACTGTAGCTTTGTAATATAGTTTAAAATTAGGCTTGACTGGGTCTAGAGGATCTGATTCCAAGATGGCTCACCCATGTGGCTATAGGCACAAGGGCTTACTTACTGGGTTTTTGCAGAAGGTCTGTTTTTCATCACATGAGCCTCTCCAGGGTATGCTTGGCTATTCCATGGCTTCCTTCAGATTGCGTGAATAATGAAAAAGGCAAAAGCCACAATGTATTTTATAATCTAGACTTGTAAATCATATACCATTATTTATGCCAAATTCTGTTGGTCACACAGACCAACCCTGATTCAGTTTGAGAGACGACTACACAAAGGCTAAATACCAGAGGTAGGGATCATTGAGAGATATCTTGGAGACTGGCTCCAAAAATAGCTTATTGTAGTGTGGACATATGGGAAATTTTGTTGTAACAGCCATACATATGTATATTGGAAACTAAATTGAATTCAGAAAATTTCAAAAGAAAATTGTTTTTTATACACTCTAATAAAAGGAAGGTTTTCTATCATTCTGAACCCTACGCCTGTTTCTTCACTTTCCACTTCAGTATACAAAGGAAAATAGATGAACATCTCTAAGTTGATGGAAATATGAAAAAAATCTGCTAAAACAGATCCATTTCACCTTTGTTCTTGCTTCTCCTGATCCACAGATCTTGTATTCATGTTTGTAAACTTTTTCAATCCATGCTCTTTGATAAATATAAAAATGTCATACCTATTTTTTAATGTTATTTTAAATGTTAAACATTAGATATGTAACTAAAAGCAAATCAAATATAATTTTTTTAATTTATTGGGTAACACTGGTCAATAGGGTCATACAGGTTTCAAGTGTACATTTCTATGATACATAACCTATATATTGCATTGTGTGCCCACCCCCCACCCAGTCAAATCATTCTCCATCACTATATATTAGGCCCTTTTTATCCTTTATTCTCCCCATCCCTTTTCTCCTTTGCAACTTGATTTGCTGCTCTTCCCAACCAGTGGTGGAACCTGTTTGTCCACGCCCTTGAGTCTGGGCTGACTGTGTGGCTTCTTTGACCCACAGAATGTGGTGGGAATGGTGCACAAGTTCCAGAGCGTAGGCTTTAGCAGGCCTTCAAGCTTGTTTTCGCCCTCTAAGAACACTGCCCCAGGGCTGCCATGGAATCCAGAAGCTCTAATAGCTTCCTGGAACATGGGAGGCTACCTGGAGAACTGAGATGCCCCAGCTGCCAACCAGCACCAGCTGCCAGCCATGTGACTGAAGCCATTTTGGACTTTCCAAAGCAGTTAAGCCTCCAGCTGAATGCAGCCACGTGAGTAAGTCCAACCCACAGAATCATGAGAAATAATAAATCATCCTTATTTTAAACCACTAAATTTTGGGGTGGCTTGCTTTGCAGCAATAGTTAACACAACTATACTCTGGTGTGATTACAGGTGTGTAAATAATTTGGGAAAGTAGAACTTGAGAGTACTTGGATAGATAAGATCTTTTTATTTAAATAAACACTTTAAAAAAATTAATCTTCACCCAAGGACTTGCATAGAGAGGAGAGAAGCATCCACATGAGAAACACCAATCAGTTGCCTCCAGGGATTGAACCAGCAACCTAGGTTTGTGCCCTGAACAGGAATCGAACCTGCAACCTTTGGGTGCATGAGACAACACTCGGCCAACTAAGCCACTCTGACCAGGCTAAATTCTATTAACAGCACTCTGTGTCAGGCACTGTGCTAAGCATTCTGTATATATTATTTAATTGTACCTTCAAAATAACCCTATTATGTAGAAATTAATAACCTCTTTTTGCCCAAAATCACACAACCATTGACCATTTGAACTTGTTTCAAACCCAGGTATGCCTGACTCTAAAAATTGTTTAACCATTATCTTGCCTTCCCATAAGATAGAAAAAAAAGTCTCAAAAAATTAAATGGAGCTAAATAATTACAAATGGGCACTGTACAATTTCTCAAAAAATTTACAGATCTAATAAAAGGCAAAAAAAAAATACATATTGGGATTTCAGTAAATCTGGCTGCAAATTAAAAAAATGATAACTTTTACATTAATATACAAATTAATATGGATGACATAGTAGTTATGCTTTTAGGCATCCACTCTTTTAAATACATAGCATGATCTATAAAATGGGAAATAAGTGCCTGGCCAGGTGGCTCAATTGGTTGGAGCGTTGTCCCATATACCAAAAAGTCATGGGTTCAATTCCAGTGAGAACACATACCTAGGTTGCGGGTTTGATCCCCAGGGAGGGCATGTATGGGAGTCAATGGGTTGATATTTCAATAAATAGGTGAGGATTAAAATGTGAAATAAAATGAAAAAGACATTCATGAACTTAAGAATACAAACACAAAACACTGAGCAGGACTAAAGCTGATGTCTGCTGAGCTCTTGGTCCAGAAGGGGAACTGTGACTAAACCACCACAAGCCCCTCATCCAGGCCATCCCATGCCCCAAGGGAAACCCCACCCTGATCAGGGACACCCTTCAGGGCAAACCAGCTGGCCCGAACCCGTGCACCAGGCTTCTATCCTATCTAATAAAAGAATAATATGCAAATTGACCATGGTTGATATTTCAATAAATAGGTGAGGATTAAAATGTGAAATAAGAAAATGAAAAAGACATTAATGGACTTAAGAATACAAACACAAAACACAAAAGAATACAAATATACAAATACAAATACCAACACACAATATGGCTGCCCCCATGTGGACACAAGATGGCCAGCAAGGGAGGGCAGTTGGGAGGGAACAGGTCTGCAAGGGAGGGCAGTTGTGGGAGATCAGGCCAGCAGGTGAGGGCAATTGGGAGGAACCAGGCCTGAAAGGGAGGACAGTTGGGGGCGATCAAGCCTGCAGGGGAGGGCAATTAGGGGTGACCAGGCCGGCAGAGGGAAGTTGGGGGCGATGGGGCCTGCAGTGAAGGGCAGTTGGGGGGGATCCAGGCCTGCAGGGAAGAGCAGTTGGGGGGTCCAGGCCTGCAGAGGAGGGCAGTTAGGGGTGACCAGGCCTGTAGGGGAGGACAGGCTGGGAGAGGAGCAATTAGGCATCAATCAAACTGGCAGGGGAGTGGTTAGGGGATGATCAGGCTGGCAGGCCCAGGTGGTTAGGGGCAATCAGGAAGGCAGGCAGGTAAGCAGTTGGGAGCTAGCAATCCTGGATTGTGAGAGGGATCCCAGATTGGAGAGGGTGCAGGCTGGGTTGAGGGACACCCACCCCCATGCACCGGGCCTCTAGTTCAGTAAATAATAATGTATATGGGAAAATCATGAAGCTTGGAAAATTCCTAATGTTCCATTGAGTATTTCCAAGCTTAGTAATACTGTTTAGATTAATAATGAAGTAAAAGTTAATATGCCATTCAGTTCCCAGTACCAAGTATTTCTATAACTTAGTCCTTAGATATTTTCTTTAAAGTACAGTACTTTCCATCCTGATACACCAAGGTTTCGGCTTTGATCTCCAATCAGGGCATAGACAAGAATCAACCAATGAATACATAAAAGTACAATCCTTTCTTTCAATACTTCCACTGCTCCTTCTAGCCCAACGTTCCCAAATTGTGCAAACTGAGGTGCCTGTGCACCACAGAAAAAAAAACTGGCACTTGACATCTTTTGAATATCATGTAAAATTCTAGTTCCAGGTAGTTACATTAGTTGGCACAACATTCCTTTTGATGACATCATATCTCTGCGAAGTTGTTTTGGGACCATGGCAGTGATAAAAAGTATTATGCAAAAATCAGTGTGGCTGAAACCGGTTTGGCTCAGTGGTAGAGCATCGGTCTGCGGACTGAAGGGTCCCAGGTTCGATTCCGGTCAAGGGCATGTACATTGGTTGCGGGCACATCCTCGGTAGGGGGTGTGCAGGAGGCAGCTGGTTGATGTTTCTCTCTGATAAACATTTCTAGCTCTCTATCTCTCTCTCCCTTCCTCTCTGTAAAAAATCAATAAAAATATATTTTAAAAAAATCAGTGTGGAAGAAATGAGGATGGCTGTGTCCAATCTGATCCCAATTTTGAGAAATTGTACAGTGCCCATTTGTAATTATTTAGCTCCATTCATTTAAGCCAAGTTAACAAAGTATATATTAATGTATAGCATGCACACATACTTTGAAAAAAAAAAGGAAAAAGAGGTAATTTTCCCATAATCAAAACTTTATTGAAAAATTGACACCAAAATAGGAGATCACTGTTATATACTTACAAAATTAAATGTAATTACATTATCCTGGTAGATTAACTAGAATTATTAAACTGATAAGGCTTTTTGTGATATAACCCAAATTCAGGAAGCTGTGTGGATCATTAGTGTTGCTTTCTTCTAAATGAACACCCTGCAATGGAATTACAAAAACATGTTAAACACAAGTCTATTCTATCTTTGGTATACTTTTTTGTTTATTTTCCTTTGGTACAGTTTTAATAGCAAAAAACACAAGTAAAAACATATTTTAGGAATATTACATTAATATACATATTTAGGTTATTTATCCTTTCATACCAGAAATTTGCTATAATAAATCATTTATATTTGAATGTCACTCATGTTTCTCAAATGCTATCATGAGTCTATTTAAGACCAGGAGCTTGAATTTGTTAGTTAAAACTTTAATATTGGCATGATATAAAGGTTTTGAAAATCTTGCAAGTATGTTGACTTCATACTTATATATCTTACCAGATCATATCAAATAGATCTTGAATCTGTTGCCAATCCACTTATAACTCTTCCAGTGAGAACATAGAATTCACATCTCCCCAAAATATCACAAGCAAATTTCAAGTATCATTAAGAATGCTAAGTCTACAAGTTGTACTACGGAAAACTATGTAATTATTTTTTTCTTACTGCATGAAAATGAAAAATGATTAAAATTTGATTTTATATTAACTATTAAGTACTCAGAGATAGCATTTATTATCTGTTACTTAGCTAGCAATGATAAAAACTGTCTTAAGTCTATGTACCATATACATATGAAACAAAATATTTACAAGAGAAATCAGTCCATGGGCTCACACTCTATCCACTGAGCCAAATAGGCTAGGTGGGCTATAAGAGGAAGTTTTTAAATCCTATTTTTATTTATTTTTATTTTATTATTTTTTAATCCTATTTTTTTTTAAATCCCACGTCCTATTGTATATATTTATTCTTTTGCTCCATTTATGTTTAATATCCCAAGTTAGGCAAACTAAGTGATTAAATACAGCAAAATAAGGTGTTCTATCCTACAAAAAAATAATAATATTCAAAGGAGTTCTTTGCAAGGTCAAATTGAACAGGACACTCTTTACTGAAAGAGTACACAATGAAAAGACAAAATTATTTTGGGAATCATAAACTTGGGTTTCTTTTAAATTGGCTTTTAGTAAAGACAGAGACATTTACAATCATGAAATTTCATCACGGGTTAGAAAATGCCAGGTGATATACCTTCCGTGAGTCTAGCCTTTCCTCCTGTCGGCTGGCACAACACTGTGGAACAGCCTACGCAAAGAACCACTGTCTGGGCATGGCTGAAAACCGTGGTGATCTTGTAGCAACCTAGAAAAAGGGCACTGTTAAAAGTGAAAAGCAGAAGACTACACAGCACTTGCTCAACTTATTTCCAGTAAAGACCTTGTAAAAGATTACTTTAATGCTGTGCAAAAGCCAGCCACATAGTAACCAACTTTTCTAGGAGCCACAAACTTGTTAAATATTATCATTTCAACATGTAACCAATACCGTGGGGGGAGGGAAGCTACACCTTCAAAACCTGCTGTGTATTTTGCAGTTATAGAGTATTTTCATTTTGACTGGCCACATTTCAAGTGTTCAGTAGCCACATCTATAGCTAATGGCCACACCACCATCCTGGGCAGCACAGCTTTACACTAAAAGAATCAACATACTTTTCATTGCATCATGAAAAAGAAAGCTCATCAGCTTGAAGACTTAGTTAAATCAAATGTCATATTTCCATTGGAGTCCCATGTTCACGCCTCCCTTGTTAATACCCCTTCCACCCCAATGTTTCCACAGTGGCCTGAATACGTTTATTATGAAAATATCCAATTCTGTAACCCCACTTCTACTCCACAGAGGATCCTAAAAGTAACAAGTATACACTCCACACCAGCAATTCCCATAGAAATTTTCATTAGGAAGAGAATTAAATTTGAAACTTTACCTGGGCATTTCACATCCATAAAATAAGAATTTGGACTTTGAACTAGCCGCTTCTTTTTATGCTTTTTCTTTTCCTCTTCCAAGGACGGATGTAGTAAGTCTCTAGCCAACTGAAAAAAAAGAGCAGATTAGTGTTACTACTAGAATGAAACGCACAACGCTGGCAGATGCGACCACACGTGAACTAACATGCAAAAAATCAGTCATACTCAGCAGAGGCCACACCTCGGGTGTTATTTTTTTTTAAAGATTGTCAACTCTCATCAGTACTTTCTGTCACATTTGCGTTCTCCCGGTGCCGGAACCGCGGCTCTCGGGCCATCGGGAACCATATGGCAAGGTTCACCCGGTTCCTCTGGGCTCAACCGAGTAACAGTCCCCATAAAAACACCCTGCGGTGCTCAATGAGGTCGTGACCGGGACCCAGGGCCCGCCGAGGGTCCGAATCGCCGAGGGTCCGTGGAAACCGGGGTTCGGCATCTGACCCGACAGGGGCCCCGCGTGGCTGAGGCGCGACCGCCCTCGGCGGAGCTCGTGGGAAAGGCAACAACCACCAAGTTTTACAAGGAAATCGCTCCCGAGACGAGGCAGCGGGGGCGAAACCCAGAGACAGCCCCTGAGACTCCGCAGACAGAGCATCGCGGGCGCCCACCCAACACCCAGAGGCTGGGCTCCGGGAGCCGCCGATCCCCGCGCCCCCCCCCCCTCCCCGCGGGCCCGACAGGCGCGCCGCCCCGCAGGTCCCGGCGAGTCCGCCACGCGCGACCCGGACCGCGTGGCCGCCAGCAGCCGGGAGCCCCGGGCCGCCCGCGCCGGCCCCTCGGCACCCGGAGCCGCCCCGGCCCCAAAGTAAACAGCTCACAGGCATGGTGATCCTCTCGCAGGCGCAGCCCGGCCCGATCTCCGCGGCGACACCCGGGGAGCCGCACGCGATCGCTGGCAGCACCCACTTCCGGGGGAGAGGAGGCCGGAGGGGGCGGGGCGGGGCGGCGTCCGCTCTAGGCGCTCCTCTCGGTGGTGGGTGCGCCCGGCCCGCGGTCCCGGGCGGGGGCTCCGAGCGCTGGGCCGGTCCGCGGCCGCCGGCTCCGCGGACCTAACGGGCCCAGCCCGCCGGCCGCAGGGCTCCGCCCGGCCCAGCGGCGCCGGGGTCGGCCAGCGGGGTGTGCCCGGCCGGGAAGCCCCTCGGGCGTCGGCCGCGGGAAGAGGGGGAACGGGCGGTGGCGCGGAACCCCACGGGCCGGCTGGGGCGGGCAGGCGGGGCCGCTGGTCGCTAGGCCGCCGTCCCCTGTTGTTTTGTGTAGTATAAACAATATTATCAATTAAAACTGTTAACCTGCGCCAGTGGGGTTATGCAAGAGGCTCCCGTATTCCTGCATCCGGCTTCCCAGGCGCCGGGTACAAGTTCCTTGTGGGAGGAAGCCGTGCTTTGGGTTTGCTCTGCCCTGGAAAAGTTTTTTTGTTTTTTTTTGTTTTTTTTTTTTAAATATATTTTTATTGATTTTTTTACAGAGAGGAAGGGAGAGAGATAGAGAGCTAGAAACGTCGATGAGAGAGAAACATCGACCAGCTGCCTCCTGCACACCCCATACTGGGGATGTGCCCACAACCAACGTACATGGTCCTGACCAGAATCGAACCTGGGACCTTTCAGTCCGCAGACCGACGCTCTACCACTGAGCCAAACCGGTTTCGCCTGCCCTGGAAAAGTTTTTAAGCGCGAGTTGCTGCCAGTTCGCTTCCGGACTTTGTTCACTAGAGGCTCCTTCCTGACCCCTGGAGGAGCATACACTTTGCAGAGCAGACACCTCCAGCCTGAAAAAAAAACACCAGGCAGGGGTCACGATATAAAATACTAGAGGCCTGGTGCAAGAGGAGTTGGGTCCCTTGGCCTGGCCTGTGAGACCACCTGAAACCAGCTCTCCAACATCCCCTGAGGAGTCCCAGATTGCAAGAGGATACAGGCCAGGCCGATGGATCCCACGGGTGCACCATGGGGCCAGGGAGGGCTGAGGGAGGGCTCTAGGGCTTGTTAGGCCTGTCTGGCTCAGCCCCCATCCACCGGACCCCAGCAGCAAGCTAACCTACCAGTCAGAGCATCTGTCCCCTGGTGTGGTCAGTGTACAATCATAGTGAGTGGCCTTAGCATATCATTACCATGTTATGTTTTGGTTGAATGGACAACTGGACACTTAGCATATTAGGCCACTTAGCATATTAGGCTTTTATTATATAGTATTTTTGATGAGGAGGACAAGCTTGAAGGATTGAATGTGAGGGAATGTGATCGAAAGCTAAGAAACCAGGGAGATGCTTGACCAGAAAATGGTCCTAGATAGGTGTTCTTAATCACCTATTTCTCTATTTGCAAAAATAAAACATAATACACATTTTGGAAAATGCAGAGAAACAGAAAATTGAAACCACTGTGCAGAGATAAACATCTTAAACATTTTGACCTATGTCCTTTCAAATATTTCTTTATTCCCTTAAAAATAGGTTTGTTTTTGGTTTTGTTTAACATAATTGATAGCTTATGCATATTCCTTTTTAGACTTCATCCCCCTACACTTACTGTATAATGAACATTGTCCCATCTTACTACACATTTTCCTAATTATGACTCTTAATAGGCAAATAGTATTCATCATATGAATATATACCTTCCTTTCATCCATATGCTAAATTGGAATTAGGTTGGGTTTTTAAATATTTAGTATTTTAAATAATAAATATTTTCAGATGGATAAGTATCCCATATTATAAAAAGCTAATATGCAAATTGTCCCCTTGGCCAAAAGTTCAACCAGGAGTTCAATTTGGAGTTTGACCAGAGGTCAAGGCCAGCCAACCAACCACCTGTAGCCTTTCTCCCTGGCCAGCCCCATGCCCAATCGGCCCCCCACCCTGACTGGGTCCAGCCCGATTGGCCCCATTTGGGGTAGGCCAGCCAGACCTCACTTGTGCACAAATTCATGCACGAGGCCTCTAATATAGAATAATACAATTGAGTAGGCCAAATTGTGGCACCCAAAGTCTTCAATGTCCTAATCCCCAAGATTTATAGATACACTAGAGGCCCAGTGCATGAAATTCATGCACAGGGAGGTCCCTCAGCCTGGCCTGTCCCCTTTCCAATCTGGGACCCCTCAGGGGATGTCTGCCTCTTGGAATCCTAGACCGATGGCTCCTAACCGCTTGCCTGCCTGATCACCCCTCACCTCTCTGTCTACTTGATCACCCCTAACCACCTCTTCTTGCCTGCCTGATTGCCCCTAACTGCTCCCCTGCTGGCCTGATCACCTCTAACTACCTCTGCCTCACCCTATACCCAGGACCTGGGTGTCCCTTCCTCTGGCCAGCCACAGGCACCCAGGACCCAGGCCAGCTTCACCCAGGCCAGCCAAAGCTGTAGGGGACCGTGGGCACCCAGGATTTCAGGGAGGGCAGCTTGTCCCTTTCCTGGCTGATTCACATTCCTCTCTCCCCACTGTTGAGTGTCTGAGCCATTATGGCATGATGGCGTGAGGGCATGAGGGCATGATGACTGAAATACAGAACTGTAAGAATAAATTTGCATGGTTTTAAGCCATTAACATTATGGTAATTTGTTATAGCAACATTAGAAAACTAATACAATAATGAAGACCCATGTACCCAACACTTTGTCAAATCTTTATATATATATTTATATATATAAATATATATATATTTATATATATAAATATATATATATATATAATTGATTTTTTACAGAGAGGAAGAGAGAGGGATAGAGAGATAGAAACATCGATGAGAGAGAAACATCGATCAGCTGCCTCTTGCACACCCCCACTGGGGATGTGCCCACAGCCATGTACATGCCCCTGACCAGAATCGAACCTGGGACCCTTTAGTCCACAGGCCAATGCTCTATCCACTGAGCCAAGCCAGTTTTGGCTCTGTCAAATCTTAACAGTCAAGACAACCAATCCCCAAGTTTTCACTATTAAAATAATACTGTGGTAAACATTCCTGTAGATTAGTCTTTGTGCACATCCTTGATTATTTTCTTAGAATAAATTTCTAGAAGAGGAATTGCTGAGTTAAAAGTTATGCACATTTTAAGGTTTACAATATTAACTACCAAATTACCTTCCAGAAAAGTCAAACCAATTTACATTCCAGATGAATTGAAAATTCCCCTTTTTTGCACCCTTGGCAATATTGGATATTATGTTTTTTCCCAATCTCGGTCAATCCAGAAAAACTATATGGTGTTTTGCCATATTTCACTGTTGTGTTAATTAATACTTCTCATATGCTTATTGCTCATTAGCAGTTTTCTGTCGGGATGATGGTTTATTTCCTCCTTATGTGTTCTTCTATATTAAGGATATTAACCAAATATTTTCCCAATTTATTTTCTATTAATTTTATCCTATTTTATTTTTGTGTGATTTAAAAATCATACAGTAAATTGTAATTGTTTGTGTATGCGCACACACACAGTATAATGCAGGCATACCTCATTTTATTGCATCTTGCTTTATTGTGTATCACAGGTGTCACATGTTTTATAAATATAAGGCAAGACTCTCCACCAGCAAAAGGATTACATCTCTCTTTAATGCAATACTTGCTTTATTACAGTGGTCTGGAACCAAACCCGAACTACCCTGTTTCCCTGAAAATAAGACACTATCTTATATTAATTTTTTCTCCCAAAGTTACGCTAGGTCTTATTTTCAAGGGATGTCTTATCTTTCCATGCGCGAGGTCTTATTTTCGGAGGATGTCTTATTTTCAGGGAAACACGGTATCTCCAAGGTTTGCTGCATATTTTAAATCTGTTGGGTTTTTCCTTTATAGACAGGCTTTGGCCGCCTTAGAATCAGCTAAATATTCACCTATATTTTCTTCTAATTATTCTTTAACTTTTTAGTTAACCTGGAATTTATTTTGGCACTTGATGGCACCTGAACTTCTAATGATCAGGCCTAGTTATTGCTTCCGTTCCTTAACCAATGCCCAGTACAGTGTTGAAACCCTCCAACTTCTGAGAAGCTGTGATAACATGAAAAATAAAACTCTCAAGAAGATCTGAACTGTATTTATAACTCTGCCTCCCCCTCCAGAGCTCAGTTTCTCCTGCAATGTCCCCCAGGCCCTTGCACTGATGGCAGATGAAGGGACCTGGAGTCCCTCTGCCTTGGTGGCCTATTCTCAGGCATCCTGCAGGAGGAGCGCCCACCTGCTTCCCAAGCCCAAGAACAATCCAGCTGTCTCTCCAAGTTTAAGAAAGGGCTGCTGAACCCCAGTCAGCAACTGGTTCGCTTCACCTCAGAAGTTCAGTCAGTTCCTCCCTTTTCCCCTTTACCAACTTCCGAAGCTGGGAAAACTCACAGCTGTTTGGAATAAGCCAGGAACTCAACCCATGCTAAATTTCAAGCCGGCCAAGACTGGTTCTAAATAGGTCAGCTCCCACTTTTCCCTGGGCTAGAGTTCCTCAGGCTCCTACCTTTCTTTTCCCAGAAAGATGGTCAGAGCTTTTGTTTTTAAGAAACTTGGGGTGAGAGGTGGGGGCCTAAATAACTTTTCACACTCCTGCCTTTCTGAGTATTTTTTTTTTTTTTCTAAGAAGCTCAGAGAAATCTGTGTCATCAGCAAACATAACAAGGCTGCATTCTTTTTTTTTTTTTTTTCTTCCTTCCTTCTATTGTCCACCTGTTGGCAGGTTTCAAATGTGACTTATTCTCAACACATTCCCGAAATCAGCAGCAACTTCTGAAAGTCCACGTCTTCTCTGCACACCAGTTCGACAGGGTCACAACCATTCCGTTGTAGGGGTTCAAATCCATCTGTCATTCATGAAGACGTTTGACACTCCCA